ATGCATTCATAAAATGTTCAATAATTTGTTTCTAAGGAAGTAAAAGGGGTTTTCCCTTACTTCTTCTTAAGAATCAGCYTACACTTGCCTATATTCAACACTAAAAATCAAAAGAAAAGTCAGAGTTCAGAAAAATGTATCAGCTCTCTGGAAACACCCCATTTGCTTGAAAAAATCCTGAAGATCTAAGTGAGCATGAAGCTTCTTCAGCACAAAACGTCCATAGATTCTGCATCATTCACTCAACCACATTATGGGCATTAGTGCAAAATATACATACGGAAATGCATAAGAACCACAGAAAGATATAAAAGCACTAAAAAGGATTAAAAAAAAGACACAAAATAAAGAGCCAAAASAAACTACTGAAGTCTCAACATTTACTGATACACTTGTATTCCTGTTTGTTTAGTGTGTGTTTTGGTATTTATTAGTTTATTAACAAAACTTGAAGAGAAAAAAAAACACCTTGCATCATGAAGAAAATTCCATGTAATAAGTAGTCTGTATCATCTTTTCTGCCTTTGCAGTGKCTTCATGGACACTGCTCTTCAATGCTGCATTTTGTAAAGCGTGCCTGRCAAATAACAGAAGTGGTCTGGAAGGTTACATCACTCATTTGGCATTTTAGGCCATATAACTGGTTATTCAGTACTGCAGAGTTTTTGACAYGCTTTTCCTTTACTTCCCATAGTGCTGTATTAAAAGTTGTTTTACTTGTAAAACATACAGCTTGCTCAGCACTTTACCAGTGCTGAGAACCGCAGGTTTAGGTGTCTCAAAACACGCAGGCAAACAGCAGGATGGTCACTGGGCAAGCGAGCCGCTGCATTCGCCCCATTGCTGTTATCCCAGTGCAGAGGAGGGGAAACAGGGAGCCCTGTTCTTACCGAGCCGGACACAGGCAGTGGGGAAGGATAATGCCATCAGATCCAGCCTAGATCCGTGTGACTGACACTAAATACTTTACAGAGCTCTAAAGCCTTGTTAGTTATTTCTTGACAGGGGAACCACAGCTGAGGCTTTTTTTTTTTTTTAGTTAAAGTTAATTGCTCTTTTAAAAATTACAAAGCTTCAAACCAATAAAATGTTGCTAAGCTGAACCTGCAATTTGTTCAAAGTGTAACTCATTGGTTTTACAGCTGACAACATGCAGTTTACATACGCCAGGTTACAGCAAGATAGGGCTCTCTAATTCCAGACACCACCTTAGAATCCCAAAGCCAGTCCTGACAAAAAACGCTTGCTTTCCAATACATTTAGTATACATAAACCCAATAAATAATGGATTTCATAAAAAGTGTATTTCCTCTTTCATTGCAAAAAATCTCTTTTCTTTCCAATCTACTTTCTAAAACTGAAAATCCTGTTTTGCTTTCAGTCTCCTCAGAAGTACTTTTGTCATTGCCACTTTCAGAACGGCCCCTGACATCCCTTTCACTGCCTCTCTCCACTAATTGTCACATCCCCTTCAAAGCCCTCCTGCTTTATGGGCAGCTTCCYCACCAAACGCTCGCCTGGTTTCAAGCACAGTGATGAATCTTTATTTCATCACTGATGATAAACCTGTATTCTGATTATAGCTCCCTTTTTATTGGGCTTGTATTCTTATTCCTAACTTTTCTGATAGCTTCCAACAAATAAGTGTAGCTAATACTCTCCTCTTCATGTCTCCTCACCTCTTGTGAAAGTTCTGTATTTTACTGCTACATATTAAAATGCAGTTTACCATTTTCTTTACCTATTTTTAGCAATAGGCAATAGGATACTTAGGCAGTATCAAGAGGGTTGGATTTGTCACGATCCCATATCCACTTGCTCTAGAAGAGAGAATTCCTGAACCCAAATCACCTGCTTTACTGCACGTTTCATCATGGATTCTCATCGCTCTGCTCCTTTGAAATTAACCATTAAACTGTGAAGCCCTTCTCCTCTGGTTCCCCCCGAGTTCTCCCTGGGTTTTGGGTCAGCTCTCTTTTTCCAAAAMTTTGGCCCTTTTTTCTTGCCATTGTCACAAAGATGGAACTCTCTCCCCTTTCTGCAGCATATACCTTGCTTTATTTTACAACTGATAGGTTGTATTCTGTATTCTGTGTGTATATCACAGGTATTCTGTGATATACAAAATGCATTACATGTTTTGGGTTTTTTTAGCACAATATATATCTTGCTGTTTCCAATAGGTCACAGAAGATAAAAAGTGACCAGAAAAGACCAGAATGTCACAGAAAACATCCTCACAAACTGCTAAAAATTATCTGCTTGAATTATATTGCAAGTTTACACTATGTACTTTTTAACAGTAAGAAACATATCAGACTCTTTATATAGAAAAKAATTCATATCTCCATCATAAGACATAAATAGTGAACAAATGAGCAAAATTTAAAAAATATTACGGTCTAAAATAAAATACTCAATTATATTCTCCACACTTCCTTACTCTTTTTCTCTAACAAAAATAAGAATAAATGAGTCCAATTACTGCTATATTTCAAATATCTACAACGCCATGAAAATAATTGTTTCGGGCCTGCTCAATAAGCACTTTCACATACTCATTGTTAATATACTTCAAGCAGATTTACATCATCCTAATCCTTCAAGAGGCATGAAATTCCTGTCAACACCACTATTTTTCACACAAGTAAGATAAACAACACAAAGAACAAGCACTGTTTTCAGATAATTAATACCCTCAGAAATATTTTCTGAATGCAAATGCCTTATTCAGATTTTTGAGTTCATAAATCTATAAACTGAATCATTATCTATATCCTATGTTTGGATATAATACACATACCATAATGAGCTATCTAGCATTATTTTGCTATTGCGTACTGAAATCTGTTTTCTACAACGTATTAATTTCCAGGATCAGTTCAATATTTCAACACTATGACACAAAACAAAACTCCTCAAACTATTAGGAGAAACAAACAAAAATTTCTTTGCGTAACTGCTGATGGTGAAACTGCACAGAAAATAAGAAGATATGAAAGTTAACCTAAGCCTAAATACAAGCAAACAACAAACCATAAATGCTACCACAGCAGCCAGTTTTAGCTGTGGTCTGCAAGACTGGGTTTCGGGGAGGAAGTGATTCTCTTCCAACCTAATACAGAACATATACAGCCCCCTATACTGCCCACCATGCTTCTCTCTGTTCTCCATAAAACTGAGGTTGCTGCCTGGAAGAAACACATGGATAACCAGAAGAATTAGGGAGGAAGGTATTACCATGCCAGGCTTCTTCAACCCTCTAAGGAAGTACTCAGTTAAAATTTTTAGATGGCAGACAAGATCTGAATACCTTTATCTTAAGATTCAATTAATCTACTCGTGGAGGAATGCATCACATTAATGTGATAATATTTGATACACTGATAAATGAACTACACTAGCATTAATTATTACAATATTCTCTCTATAAGAGTATATGCATAAAAAAAATACAAAATTTAACTCTCTCTGAACCTTTCATTCAGTGCTACATTTCCCAAAAATAACTAGTTAACTTCATAGAGTCATATATACTTCATAATGTTTTTGCATTGGCTGCAAACACAAGGAATAGTTATTTTCACTAGGAATGTTTGTTTTAAAATAGCAATACTTCTATTGGCTTAACAGAGTATATTTTCCCTTTTCTCCAGCACATTTACATTATAGGCCAACATGGTTCAAGAAAGACTTGTAAAGGAATTAGCACCCACCACTGTCTCTTCGAAAGATGAAATAGATACTGGTTAATGACTTTGTTTATCTGAAAGTGTAATCAAATATCCATAAACTAAAGGAGCATTTATCAACTTGGAGCTTCTTCAAATTAATTYGAAACAAGTTTCCTCTCTCTAAGAATATAAAGTATTTTCTTTGGTGAAATTATTATTTTAGTTAATCTGCACATATTTCCACAAAATACTATTAATCAATGGAAAATCGAYCTGCATCACTCCAAGAAACCATGTCTACTTTCTCTATCTAAACACAAGGCATTCAACATACAAGCAGAAAGGTGAGCCTAACATGACTGCCTAAGAACACACAGCTGGCCAATTTACCTCTACAATAACAAAAGGTGAAAAGTGATTTCTTTTAATTTGCTATTTAAATATATACAGTGTTTCACAGGTCCTTTTCTTATGCAAGGATATATAAATAAATAAATAAATAAAAGAATAAATTCTAATCTAATCTAATAATGCCTGAAGGAAATATCAGCTACAAAATTCTTCAGATAGCTTGGGTGACTAGAAACTGCCAGGACATAAGAACTGCCAATCTTATTTAATCTTACTATCTTACTAATGCTTTAACAGTCTTTTTAAAGCATCTTTTAAAAGATTTTATGATCAGTACAAAAACATTTCTCTCAAATATGTGAATACATAAGTCCACAAATAAATAAGTACACTACGATCTGTGAAATATTGCTTTACATTTTTCTCCAAGGAATAGCAGGCTATTCAACTAAAAAACTTAAGATTATGGAGAAAGGACAGAAGCTTCGTACTTACGTCGTAMCTTCAATATTAAATCTCCTCTCCTGCTTGTACTGCTGAGCAATGACAGAGGACAGGCCTGATCTACAGTATGTTTAATATAATGCATGCAAGGAGTCTCCAAGGACTAGTCACATGTCTGCATGAATTGAACCTAAGGGACCAATTTTAAACACACTTTAGAAGAGTCCTCTCAAATAGTATGAGGGGTTCCCAACTCATTAAACTTCTCTCAGTAATTCATAACTACTTTTTTTTTGTATTGAATTCAGACAGGCCCTATATATATTTTAGTCCTTTTCTTTAAAACAAAAACGTCTTACTGAGATTGTTTTACACTAACAAATATCACTTTTATCACAGCATTCTCAACTAAGACTGAATATTAGTCTGAAGCAATTCTACTTAATTGTTTGCTTTAGCAGCAAACACTTGATCTTGTCAGATCCAACAAACAGCAAAATGAAATGAGTTTTTATAAAAATTTAAACTTGCCATGACTTCGGCTCCCCAAAATGAAGGTAATTAATACTGTAGAGATCCATGTCTTCAGTGTGCCATGCAAATGTTGTTTTCCACATGCCAAAGTAGAGATATGGGGTATTTACACCCTCAATAGAAATTCCACAGTCTTCTCCTACAACATCCAGTATTGTATTAAGACGGGCAATATTCCATTCCTCAACATCCTGAAAAACACATGTAACAAAAGTATTAATAAAATAAACTAATGCAAYTTTATTTAACAGTATCACTCAAAAGATACATGTCTGATCTAGCTTTTCAGGGAACTAAGATGAAAACAAACTTCTAAGTACTATGGGAAACTGCTGAAGTTACCTTAAAAGAAGATTGTGACTTTTAGTAGAATTTGGATCATATTCTAAATCCTAGATGCTAAGAGCAGATAATCTGTAGAGCTTCACATATGCTGAAGTTTCATAACGCTAAGGTATTAATCCTAATAAGCATTAAAATTCCATCCATAACATAAATAACAGCAGCACACAAGGATTTTTGATGAATGAATAGCTAGGAGACTTTCACCACRTATATCTATGCTTTTAAATTACTTATAACAATACACTGTATAAAAGCTGTTTAATGAATGGYAACTTTACCATATGCTCTGAAAGGTATGAAAAATAAAACTATTATATCACTTCAGAGATATTACTAATCATAATGGAACAGTACACAATAGAGCACTCCAGAAAAAAAAAAGAAAAAAAAAAAGATTTCATGGGATTTTAGCTGTTTTTTTTTCTATTATTGCCTGTAGAATTTGGGTATTAAAAGCCCTGCATGAAGTTTTTGTTATATTTCAGGTTCACCCACAAAGTGCAGTATTAATCTCAGGTCATACAGCATGCAAAAATCAGTAGAGCTAAGATCAAAGCCMCAAAACTGAAAAGAAAGAGCTTACATTTTGTTATAAGGGCAATCACTGAACACCTTCAAGAGAGGCATTACCAGGTGCAGAGTCAGAAATAAATAAATAAATAAACAAACAAATGAAAGCCRAGGAACACAAGGCAGACCATTACAAAGGCCAATGCAGGTAACCTGCCTTATTGCAAGCACAGAGGTATTAACCAGCTCGTCCTTCCCCAGCTCTRTCCCACGCCACACAGTCCTGGTCGCCCTGCCCTGCTCGGGGTTAAGCTTGCTGCCAGGATCAGTAGGTGAGGGCTGAAAATCCCAACAACCCACAGCAGTTGAATAGGTGCTGAGGGAAGCGTGACCACGGTGAAACAAGGAACAACAGACTGTTAAAACTCTCCTTTCACATCCTTGCCCTTGGAGATTTTATATCGAGTATGCTACGTGTGCAGCAGCCAGAACTGAGACTCGAGACAGCAGCTTCCTCATGAATCTCAACCTTCTTGCTGAAGAACCACCTCTGGCTGCAGTGACTATTTCATTTGAAAATAAAAGCTATTCTTAAGTCCAAGAACTCAAACAAAGGAGTTTTATTTATAGAATGAGTTAATTGCTAGCAGTCATTTTCTTTTAGGATTGATGCATTCATGTGACAGAAAGGACACCTGGTCTTACAAAAAAAAAAAAAAAATAGATAAATAAAAAGGCACTATCAGAGCAAAACAACAAGTAAGTATGAATTAAAGAGAAAATGCTGGTAACATTTGCATTCAAATCTCAAAATCCTACCTATCAGCAAGGCAGAATGTTATGAGATAAAAATTTTGTTTGAAAAAATAAATTATTTATTCTGCACATTAATTAGCAGATTTACTTWAAAAAAAATCGTTGCAGATTTTGCCTTTTTTGAGAAATAAATTCTACTTCAGCRACAGAAAAAAAGGCCAGCTATCTACTTAGTATGGAAAAATGGAAACAATAACCACAAAGGCACTCATGTAAGTTTATAATGCAAAAAGAAACACACTAGACAGAAATCAACCATCAGTCAACTCGATATGCTCTTTCTGATAGTGGCTAATATCAGATATCTAGGGAAGAGTCCAGAAACAGGGTAAATGCATTAACACTTTTCCAGAACACCTTTCCAGCCTTCAGCAATTTGCAGATTGCTGCAACACTTCTCCAACCAGAGGTGATATAGTTAAAATTGTACTAAAATCTTATATTATAGTTATCGACAATTAAGTGAATGTTAGAATAGGAGAAAAGAGTCATTTTTTAAATACCACATCTCATTTTCGTACCCCGCGTATAAGCCACTGCTTGTCAGCAAACCAACACCCCGCTAGTGTTTTGTCCCCAATACAAAAGGCAGTCATCCAGTGAACAGAACACCAACTTGCGTCGAAACACAGAACATACAAAATATACATTTTCCTTTCCAGGAAATATGATCCTTTTCCTAAACATTATTTAAGACAAGCAATAGAAGTTTAAACTTTTGCAGAAATGCTCAGTTGTCTGAACGATTAAAAACCACACTAGTTCTAACTCTTTCTACTATCCCTGAAATAWTTTTTTTTTTWAAAAGAAGTTTTATTTTTACATCTAGATTATTAGCAGTTGTTTCTTTACCTCGTGGATATTACCTTTTTGATATTGCAAAGCATCAAATGCAAGCTTATCTTAATTTCAAACTTTGGCAATAGCTATGAAACTACGTCAAAACTTTACATTTGGAATGCAACACTAACTATCACARGAGCTTAATAAGTCAAAACAATAATAATATTTTCTCAAAATTACTTCTCGAAGAATATTTTAGAAGAGTATTTCATATTTGATTATCAGTATAACAGCAATAATACACAAATGATGCAACCTTAAAGTTTAGCTGATAGTTTCTTAAAAACACAAAAAGCTATGTAGACATTATAATCTATTCAGTACTAGAATATTAGGAAAATAATAAATATGTATTACAATTTAAACTTGTATCAGAATATTGATTTAAAATAATTTCAAAGGTAAAGAAAATATTTTAACTTATTCGTATTTTTGATGGCAAATTCCTTAATATATGCCTATCATATAGCATTCAAAACAGTATCAGAAAAAAAGCTGAAATAAAGAAAAAATATTTTGTATATTCAGAAAAATACTCTGTATTTCAGAAAAACATTTTTGTGTATTTACCATTACAAACAAATAGCTTTGCAATACCAAAAGCCTGATACAGCCTATCATCCAYGGTCTTTGCTACAGCACCATTAGACTTACTTTATACTTCTTTTCAGAAATATTATCAAGGCACCAGTTCATTCAAGAGACCACTAGACCAATCTTTTTAAATTTGTTGGATGACTCAAACAGCTATAAATTGCTGTCCAGAGTTGTTATGGCTCTTTTACCTCATCAGAGCTAGCCTTTAATAGAATGCTGAGATAAAACTGGAGAGCTTTCAAGAAGCTCTCAAAGATAGGAACACCTGGACAGCGTGGAAGGAGCTGACCCATTCATTTTCTCAAAGACAAAAAGAAACTGCATTTCTCAATACCTTGCACAAAAAGTCAAGTTCAAAACTTTAAACAGCACGAGGACCTCTCAGAAAGGCTGCACATGAAATTAATTTCCATTCATTTCCCTTTTTCTAACAATTACCATATTGCGTATATGTGTATACATATATGTGTCTATATACACATACTATAGCTATATAGAGAGTTTACATAACTAAAACTATACAATACAGTTCTATTCCTACTTTCTTCCACAACTAAGCCACTCTGATACATTCTGTCTTTATGAACATGATTTCTGTATGTGCGTGTCAATTCACATAACCCTCTTTCATGTTACACTTTTCTTTCAATTACCACACAGGTTCATTTTRACAATAACCTGACAAACAAGAAATCTGCTCTACAGATTAAAGACTAATCTAAAACTAATCAAGAGCCTAAAAATTAAGAGTTAAAAAAAAAAAGGAGAATAATTAAGACAGAGAGAGCATGGATGTAGAAATATACAGAAAAATTTGCGCTTGGTTACCAACCACTTTCGTTTTCTCTTCACATCCACCCAGTCACAGCCACTAAAACAACTTTTAAAATGCTAGATTTTTATTCTTTCTTCAAACTTTTTGAAGTACAGTTAGAGAAATGCTATGATCACAATTCCTATGTCATAAAATGTCAGTTGTGAAACAAGCAAATTCCTTTGTTGAATCAGTGTTTCTCCTCAGTACCGTTTCAGGTATGACTTTTGCTCTGCAGCGCATTTTACAAAGGTAAAAAATCCAGAAGTGACTGATTCCCTTGGAAAGCACTTAAGAAAAAAAAACATGTAACTGAGGGAATGACACGTTGACCTCTGTGATGGAGAGATCATGAAGAGAAAGGATCTCTCAAGAAACCACCTGCTAAAATGCTAATGATAATAAAAATGGCCTCTTCAGCGAATCAACTCACCTTCCCAAATTTGCCCTTTCATTCAAATTTTTCAAGTTTCTTTCTTGAACATTCTTTCTAGTCTCATATCTTTTATAAATCTCACATCTTCTATAAAACTGTTCCACATCCTCACTCTACTAACACCCCCAGTCTTAATTCTTTAATGAGGGAAAGTATGATGAAATTCTCTGATAAAGGAAGTATAAAAAGAAATATAAAAAGGAAAATAAAAATATTTGACCTCGATAGTTAACCAAAGATCTGAGCCAAAGGAACAAAAACAGTTTTCACTTTCCTTTACTGTTTCTCTTATTGGCAGTTTTTTACTCCACATATATTTCCACACCCCAGCATCCATTAACCTACAAATGAAATGCTTCCTTTTAACCCAACTGGTTTGTCTCTACTGAAGCTGTTAAGCTACAGCATCAGTGCTCTTCCTAACTCATCTCATGGTCAAATACAGACTCTATAGCTAAAGTTAGGTGGTACTTTAAAATCAAGTCAGCTGGTCTATCAAAGGAAACTTCTGGAAATTCAAAAACATCTGACACACTTTATAGTTGATGTGACATCAGAGATGTAGGTACAATACTATTTAGCAAGATTAATCAACTCTTGATCTAATGACTCTGCTAATCCAATCACTTTACATAAAATATGGGAGAAAGAAGCAAAAGGGACTGTCTCATTAGATGGAATGAAACTAAGGGAATGAAAGAACAAGACAGGAGTTGAAGACGAGTGATGCAACAGGCAGGACTACAGTCTGGTAGAGAAATCTGTCTTTGGAAGATCAGCCCATGATACAGATATACATCTTTCCCACCTTTCTGTGAAGATGATTGCTTGCGAAAAGGCTCCTAGAATCAAATAAAATGAATCTGAGCTTCTAATGTCTGATACAACAATGAGAATTTAATCTGCAGCCTCAGTGGCTGGTGGTAATTCCAACAACAGCTTGTTTGCGGCATGGAAATGAAGGATTTGACAGTAATCACCAGCACAGGCACTGCCCAGAAAATGTAAATGAACTGCACTCTCCAATTAACTCAGAGTTATAATTGCTAAACATGCAGATAAATCATCATATGTGGAAACAAAATCACTCTCTTCATTCTTCCTGATGGGAACAGCAACTTTCTGCAGCTGTTTCACATTCTTAGACTAGATTAGTTCAAGTTGGTATAAAATTCAAGCTAACTTGCAAGGACGACAGCTCTCCTGGAATAACATAATAAAGCAAAAATAATTACTTTTCAATTTAGCTAAACTGAGAAACTGAAGAAAATGATTGAAGTGACTGAAGAAAGTGATTCAGTAATTGTTTGGGAACAGATTAGTAACTGAAGCTAGTGAACTGGTGATTTATTATTGACATTATAAGCTCTATACTGTACCAGGAATATTAATTTATAGCCAAATCCATATGACCTTATAGCAGCAGAAAAACAGAATCTCAAACAGAAAGTTCTAAGAAGGCTTTCCMAGTCACTCTTAGAATTATGACTTCAACAAAAATAATGATCTTTGCAAACTATTCTTTATTGCAGTGCTTCTCTGTATTAGTCACCTGCATTGTCTTTTCTTACAAAGCACTGTAATTAAATGTAAAAGTAAAGAAAAATGCATGCAGTACAGAATAATACATCAAGCAAATATTCAGCTATCTTGAATTTATTTTCTATACAGTTCTATACAGCGTAGAGAGCACTTGTTCTCTCAAGGTATTTCCTAACTCATAAAGGTTTCATCTAAATTCAAAACTGGCACCTAAACATAAATACAACATTAGAAATACACAAAAGAGAATGTAGGAAAAAAAAAATGTACCATGGAGTTAGTTTGGGATTACTGAGAGTCATTGTCAAATTCCAAAACATGCATTTATAGCTTTGTTCCCTTACTTCTTTTGTACATGTCTTATAACTTTGCCCTCCTTTCAATGCCTTCAAAATCTGTCATCTGCTCTTCTAAGAAAATCAAAGAACACTGCCTGATCTATGTTCTTTCCAGCACAAAGCAAGCAAGGTTCTGGATTATACAAATCATACTATTTCTGAAGAAATCTAAACAGGAAATAATAATCCAAATAGGAAAAAGCAAGCAAGATTTCAACATCCAGTTGCAGCATAGCACCATTTCTCAACAAATTTCACGGTGCCAGTACATGCAAACATTATAGTTTCACTAAAAAAAAACAAAGATGCAATCAAATCTAAGAACTGTGCCTGTGTCTAGCATTTTTAATGGAATTCTGCAAGATACCTTTTTGCATTAAATTTAATGCCTATAGCACAGTGTTTTCAATGAAATACATTTGTGAAAAACACACATCTGCCTCATTTATCAAAAATAGGCTCTTAAGACAAATTAATTGTCATCCCCTTTCTTCTGTGCTTTGCCTAAAAAAATTCAAAATTATGCACTTACGTCCCTCAAATAATGACTAAATAAACATATACAAGCAGTATCTAAATTCAAAAACAAATCAGAGAGAGAGCTCTTGGCATTCACTGCCTTCAAGTGAGCAGAAATGAAAAATACTCCTTGCCCAAGTGCACCATCTGGTGGACAAAGAAATTTTGGCAAAAATATCGTAACAGGAGAAGAAATACTTCCTACCAGCGGCATCCATAACTTCCCAAACAATAATTTAGTAACACAGGATATTCCTCATTTTCCTTCAGATCTCACTGATCTGTATAATCTGCTGCCACATTAACTATTCAGTCTGTTTACACTCTTTCCTCAGTCTCTATTCTTTTCGCTCACACTTCTCCTTTGTCATCCATTTATTTTTAAATCACATCTATTTAATCATAATCATCTAGTCCTTTTGTTCTACTACAAGTGTAACTTTTTGCTTCCTCACTATTTTCTTCCCTTCTGCCTACACTTTTCAACGTTTTGCTTCCTCATCCTATTTATCTGACATTTATTATGAGTTAAGATCCCTGTACTTCTCATTTCCTTCATTCTTCCTTGTTTGACCTCTCTACCTTAACCTCCTAGTCTAACAAGAGTGCAATTCTATGAGAAGGAAATCTCTACCCTGCTCTTTGACCAGTGAGCACATCAAAAATATCAAATCTTTCTGCCTTCATTTTAATTTGCAGAAATAATCTTCTATAGATTTTAAAGACCAAAAAAAAAAAAACTATTAAAATATACATTTGTATATTAACCACTAATGTTAAAAAAAAGGGACAAGCAAAAAACTTGCTTATTTTACTTACTGAAAGAAACACTGCCATCTGTATCCCATTTTAATTTCCACAGACCAACAGCTTCCCATGCTTGAAGTGTCTCTTTACCAAAACAATCCAAATCAGAATCTTTGATGATTCCTAACTAATTTTTATAGTTATTTGCACACACAAAAGAATTTGTACCTGCTCCTTAAGGGGGGAAAAAAAAAAAAAAAAAAAAAAAAAAAAAGACAGGTGGACATTTACTGCTGTCTTTCAAAAACTTAGCCTATTGAAGAAAATCAAACCACACTGGCTGACTGGCTGACTGTATTTATTTTTGGACAGAATCCTAAAGCAAATTGTCTTTTGCCAAGAAATATGAAATACTAGCAGGGCCATCTGCCACAGAGAAATTCAGCAATTTTAAAAAATATCAAAAAAAAAGGGAATTACAGGGAATATGAAGTAACTTTGGAACTCTACATAGGGTTGAGAGGTAGAGAAAGGTTTGCCCTGTACTTTGCATGACCTCAATTTTTTCCTGAAATTTTACTATTTCTTGTGTAAGTCTCATTACTTAACAATCCTGTCAGTGTTTAATTCCTGTTGCTACTTACACTGCAACTCAACACCAAAAGATATTCCATATTTTTTCAAGTAACAAAATCACTAACCAGCAAAATTGATTTCCTTAGAAAGTTTCCTTTTTCATCTGTGTTAATTCAGAGGTTCACACAATTGCATTCCAGGAAATTGTAGRCATTCCAAAGAAGTAAAAAGTATAGCTAACAATTTTCTTAAGTGAAAAAGAGAAATAAGGTTCTACCTACCCTGAAATATGAAGCAAAGTTAGTTACACCATCACTAACAACAGAACAAGTACAAGTAAAAGTACAGATAGGATGTGTCAAAGGAGGAAGCAAGGGAGAAAGCAAGGGAGAGAGGAATGTTATAATTAGGTGTCAATAGCCTACTAAAGTCAGAGATAGAATTGAGAATTGACTCACTCTTGAAGATGTAGAGTTAATATCAGCCTTGCTTGGAGTCTTAAAAGAGCAACACAAAGTTTTCAAAAGGACAGATGCTCAGGCATAAAGCAGAAACCTRACCTTTAAGTACAGGACCCTCTTAAAAAGGGCAAGGAGAGAGAAACTTTACAAAAAGCCATACATACTTCATCATAAATGCTCCCGTTGATATCTGCTCCATAAATTGGTGCCACAAAAGTCAAGTTTTTCCAATATTTACGCTCCAGATCTTCATAATCTATGTATCTTGGGGTGCAGTACCTRCAAAAGAAGTTATAAATAGTTCAGCATAGTCTCAGCAGCCACTTTCACAATGCAGTTTYGGATTCTGCAAATTGAATTCTAACAGATAACTTTCAGATTCACTGAAATGCAACTATTATTTGTACGGAATTGCTAGCTTTCTAATTCACCACAGCACGTAACCTGTTACCTGTTACCTGACACCCACTGTGACTGCAATGGTACACCTATGCACACAACCTTTGCTCCAACCTCCTGCAGCTAAACAGAGCATCTGCTGACCACCCTCAGGAAAAGGCCGTCCTTTCTGTTTCTCCTCTGTAGGAGGCACGTGGGTGGGATGCTTCTCTGTTAACTGGCCAGTATTAGTTATTTTCCTCTCCAAATCCTGCTCTGCAAAAACACAGAGGTAGTTCCAGCACAGGTTGCTCTGAAGACAATACAAGCACAGTCATTCTGCCAAGCAGCGGCCTTGACAGGCAAAGAACAAACCAATTCCTTCCCTATATCCTCCACCTTGCTTTTGAGAAAGGGCATAATATTTCAAACACATGGTACCAAAATCCCTCTAACTGCCTAAGTTCTCCCTTCCCACAACAAAAACAGAACATCAGAGGAAAAYTTTCTTTTCCCCTTGGCTTTTAGAGCAGCCCAAGACAACTATGCTTTTATATAGATAAACATACACACTTTGGGAAGGTTCCTCAAACTTCATAGAAAGTCCTCATGGGAACAATTAATARCTTTCACTTCAGGATCCATTTCTTTGGTCCAAACTTAGGTCTTTAGAAAAGAAAACTTGCTCCCCACCCTTGCAACTCTGAGCAGTGACAGTGACAGTGTGACTGTGTTTGAACTACTAGGAAGAAAAYCTGAACATAAAAGAACTAAGTAGACCAAATACATTTATATCATTCAGTAACACAGAGGAGAGATGAATATGTCAGCAAAAAATGCTACCCACAATATTTCAAGCAATGCAATTGTTTCAGTTACTTATATGGCTCCAAAAATTAGCTTCTGTTTCTGCTTTGTCCTAATACAGATCCAAAAGCACAGTCACCCTAACACGGGAATCTTTCCTRCAGAATGCCTCTTATTTCCCAGAGCACAAGGTGAAGAACCACCKAATGGTCAAATGAGGATCCCAAACAAGTAAGAAGTATATTAACCTCCTAGACTGGGCCCACACAAAACATATCAAAATCATTTTCATTAAGATGCTTGTGGCACTTCTCATTCCCAAGGGAACTGTTAATACTCAAGCAGAGAAGCTGTCCTCCACAGAGCCCTCCAAATTCACTAAGGAACAAAACTCCTTTTACAGGGGAATTTACAGGAGCTCTGAGCTACTAAATAGTCTAAGAAGAACAGGCTATATTAAGAATCTCAAAAGAAGTTACTTGGCACATTTTATCCAGAGTAATGACCAATATTTACCAAGAGAACCACAGCTAACATTACATTAAAACTATTAACTCCCAACTATTTTAATCTCTACTTAAGAAATGAAGTTGTAGCCTGATTTCAACAAGAAAAGCATGAAAATTGAATAAGTGTTTCCAAAACATTTTCCAAGATAAAGAATAAAGTAAATCTATGTGGTTAGTAACAAACCTTCATAGGTACTTACGAGTCATCACATCTATTTTAAGAACCCAATGCTTATCATTTTACCCTAGGTCAATCAAATCCACGTTTTAAGTATAGTTAGAAGAGATATTCCCATCAGACAGCATATAGGTTTTCTAGTACACATATAAACATAAGATAGATTTCTATCCTTCACTTACGATAGAAAGAAAATTCTAACTCTGGTAACATCAGTTTTCAAAAAGTAATATATGATTAGCAACATAGTGATCCTTCTTAATTTGGTAGAAGAGATCGGTTTTGTGCTTCTACAATGGTACGTGTGCTATGGGACATGCGCTGAGGATCCTCTTCAGGGGCTGCGCATCTAGTTTTTGCTGACCCAKGTAACAGTCTCTGTCCACTCCTCTTAATTTCTCCTTCTACTCTGGAAAAAAATTCCTTCAAATAAAGTTTGCCCTAACTTACTTTCTCTAGTTCATTACATTCAAACATATTTTTACAAAATCCTTTGGCTCATCCAGAAATTATTCCACTCAGTTTTGAGGAAAAGTTAAAGTTGAAATCATTCTTTTTACTTAGTCCAAATGGACTGAGAAAAAATTTCTCCTATCACTCCTCAAATCGCTCCTATCACTTCTTCAAATGTCCATTGACTTGAAACTTTTTAGAATACTGTCTAAGCCTTTGTAGCATTGTTTCTCCTTCTTCACATATGTGAAGTATGTGCATGTGCAGTAGAAGCAGTAGTGCACTCCTGGGTTCCTTCAGAGGCCACCAAGTGTTCTAAAAAATGTGATCCATACCATCAAGTATCTATGAATTATCTGACTATTGGCTATTCCAAATGACAGTTTCCTACTGCTTACAGAGAGTAACCTCTAATAAGAAGTAAAAAAAAAAAAAAAAAAAACTACCAGAAGAAATCACAGTATAGCACAGTATAGAAACAAGTGAACACTGGTCTTTCTAAGCACAACTACATATATATACATATGTGTATATATATATATATATATATATACACACTTGTCACTGTTGGCCAGCTGCCTGAACTCCTTCACGGTCATTGGCTTTTTCTGGATGTTGTACTGGGTGAAGAGCCCCGATTGACCAGTGACCATCTGCTGAATTGGAGCAGGAATCACCAAATCTTCAATATCATTATAATGTCTTCTTGGTTTCCACTCCTTCGGCGGGATCACCTGAAAATTCAGGAGAAGAAAAACATGACATCAATCTTGGCCAACACGTAACACGCAGGAACACCCGAAGAACCAGGCAGCGGCACCACCACTTGCCAGCCCTACASATCCTGGATGGAGCAGGGGAGGGCAGAGGCAGGCTCCGGAGCGCACAGCAGCCCTTCCCTGTCCCTGCAGGAATTACCAAACTCACAGGAATCTGAGCTTGCACGACCGAGCAAACACACAGGCACGATGTAACAGAGCTCGCAAATATTTTACCGGCAGAAAGTATACACTTATCAAACACTACAAACTCTATATACACACACATATACATAAAACTTTTCTTCAAATAAAAAGGAAAGAGAGAGAAGAGATAATCTCACACACAAGACTGATCACACCCTGTCCAAATAATATCGGGCATATACAGTAMAAGTAACTGTAAAATGAAGAGAAATAATAGCAATTATCTGTTTTTCTTCACTCTCCATAAACTTGTACAGTGTATTTTTATCTAAATTAGTGTAATCTTCTACTGTGACTATACTCATTTTACACTAACATAATATAAAGTTTATAATTAAAGATTAAAGCTATGTACATGGAAATATTAATCAATTGTAAAGCTCATATTTTCATTTCAAATACCACAGAATTGCCCAATGCTACMCAAATTGAAAAGCAGATGCATAGAGACATCACTGAAGTCATTAGAAATGTCAAAGACACTTGTGATCACAGTAATTTTGAAAAGCTGCATAATTTTGAACATTTTATGTACTGATCTAGTTGGAAAACAAAATTCAGAATTTCAAATACATCTGTGCTTGAAATCTCTACTTTGAAATTACAATAATTTTAAATAAGAGCAAAAGACACTTTTAAYGAACAGAATTTTTCATGAGCATTGTCTTGGAAATGTCTGAAGCAGAATACAACAAAATATCCAGGCTTTATTAACTTGCATCTTAGAGGCAGCCGTTATTCTAAGCCTGCTAGATCTTTCTTCTAAGAAAGATTTCAAGATTARGTAACACCTTGTACTGGACATTTTGTTTTTAAATAGCTTGAAGAAAATAATTAAAAAAAAAATCTAATATTATCCAATATCCTAACATTATTGGATACCACTGGAAAATATTCACAAATACTCTAAAGTGTAATGCTAATATACTTAATATTCTACACTTTGAAAGAGATCTGGCCAACAGCATTTGTAGTACCGAAGTGTACACAAAATCAAGTGTACATTAAAGTTAAAAAAAAAAGTTATCTAGTAGTAACACGCTTCCACACCTAATACTTTTAGCTTTAAATGTAAAGAGATTATTTAATTCCATTTCTACATAGATGAAAATTTTCTCTTTTTTTTTCTCCTAAGCTTCTGTGAGACTTCTGCTAAACAGACCTGCAGAGCAAGGTTCAGTGTTCCAGAGAACGAAGAATATCCAATCATCTTTTGATTCCTACTTATTTCTTTCACACAAACACTGAATTATGTACATCAACAAAAAATACAAAACGTTGCTTTGGAAGCAGAGAAACCATGCATTCAGAATATATGCATAGAAATCAAATACTTGTATAGAKATTTCCATTTTCATGATTATTAAGCATGAACTTGCAGGTTATGCTCAACTATATATGAATATAGAGAAATAAAACTTGCATTCTCATATTTAGTTCAAGGTCAGTGTGTTATTAAGCAGTAAAGATATTTTCATGAACACTGGCTCCAAATATGCTCTTTCAGCTAACTGGAGCATACTTTTTATTGCTGGAATTAAAGTAATGCTTTGGGAAGCGAATTGTAGGTGCTATTGTGCTATCATCAATAAATAAATAAATAAATAAAAAGCCTCCTCCTCCAAAGACTGCATGGTTTCTAATAAACAAAGTTCATGGCAAGGAACAGAAACATAAAAACATCTTGCCCAAAGCAGCACATGGTTGTGGTCAGTATTAMGAATGGAATGAGAAACCAGGTATTTGAGCTTTTATCAAGAATCTGTTCCACAGAAGCCTCTTCAAATTCCCTTTATTAAAAAAACAAAACACCTTCAAAGTCAGGAAAGTCAGGTTTATCCCATAAAAGACGCTTAAATTCATCAGTCAAGCTGCTGCATCTTAAAATATGTRAAAAAAGGAAAGACCTATGGACAAGCTTTGGTATTTTTTTACATGCATAGCCTAAGTATTCTAGCTTCATTATGATATATAAATTTAATTTTAGATGGAGGATGGCACAGTCAGACCATACCCTCCTCTTTCTCTATTGCCAACCTACTGTTGCACAGTTGATTCCACATGGAACTGGCTACTACCCATACATAGCTACTGCTGTTCAAAACCTTCTGAAAAAGTTGTTTTCTTTGTACCCACCAACACTCGTTTTCAGTGTCACGTTGCAAAATTCATTTTCTACTTGCTCATTTGACTGCAAATTCATGTCATTGTTTTAGTCTCTATAAATGAAGGTTCTGAAGCTCCAAAAATTCACATTCAAGAAAAGAACAAAGTAACCAAACAGTGCCAACCAACCAACCAACCATTCATTTGTTATGTTACTTCCACCCTCCTCCCTTACTAAGCATCTAATTCTTTGTACTAATGGGACTGAAATACACTGTGTTTGCCCAGGACTTGTCCCTTGTTTTCAAAAGCCTACTGGCAATTTTCAGCCATTTGGCTCCAGGGATGCTGCAGTGTATCACCTGCTCTGGAAATGGTTTAATGTTATTCATCTACTTATCAATCATTTGTTTCAGGCTTAGTATTAGTTATTTCATGAACATTTTAGTTTAACAGAAAGCCACGGTCTCCATGCTTCTCCTTTTAACRTTGTGGATTATCTTAGTGGCATCTTAGTGGTATTATAATAATTCCAAAACATAATTCTGATTTGACTTAATTCAGTTGCAGTTCTATTATCCTAATAAAGGATAATAAAGAGTGTTTAGCAGTGTTTACCCTGCTAAAACACCCCACCAGCCCTCGACACAGATGCCCCATAAGTCACCGGTTTCCTGCCCATGTGCTAGGCTAGGCTTTCCTACCAATGCAGGTTTTGCAGATTCATCCTGTATCACCATACATATGCAGAATCTCACCATTTCTCTCGCTGACAGTTTCCACATACTCACAGACGCGTTTTCCCTCACTTTTCAGCCCTCCAGGCTTTGACATACTTCCCGGGCACACTTGGTTTGTGTCACAGCCCCTGCAAGCCCACTGCATTGCTTTTTCCCCATAGACCTGTATTCTCTACATAACTCAGACTTACRCACGACTTCTGCACAGGCAGGAGGTTTTTATCTCTTGCATTTCCACCTTTAACATAAATTGTTTGGTAAAATGCATGCCTGCCCTGCTTATGGCTTGTGTTTAGGAACCCCTAACTGTTTCTGCATTTGCCTACAGCTCTTGCAGTGTTCCTCTATTCTCTTTACATTYGTATCTGTGCTTATGCAACTTTTAGTTCTAGGCTTAACACAAATCAGTTCCTAAGTTCATTGTCCAATACTTTTTAAATGGTTTCAATCTTATCTTTATAACCAACTTCCAAAACCCAGAAAATGTCCTCCCCTAAAGAATACCATCTGGATAAGCCTGAAGTACAAATTATTGACTTTGTGATAAGGACCATCTTACACTGTTTGTTTTAAATTAGTCACTTCTTTGTATGACTTTTTTAAGCAAACCCAGCAGAAAGTTAGAACACAAACGGTCCAGTGTAACTCAAAGACTTGTGTTACATTTGTTCACATGGCAGAGAGAGCCAAGAGAGCTTTACCCTCTGTGCCAGTGCCAGCAGGGATGGGTGAACAGTTATCCATCGTTATCCATCATTACAGGGGTTCTCCATCCACAGCACGACCAGCACACGGCTCAAGGCACTGAAGCACTTTTAAAAGGCTTCATTGTGCTCTCCAGTACCACGCACATTCTTCCAGGTGCTGTGTGAACCCTGCACAGATGCCCTGCACGCTTTACCACAGAAATGTCTCTGTTCCTGGAACACCATATTATTTTCATATCTGAAACAACCTGTGCATGGAGAACAGCTTCTCAAACTGTTTTAAAGTGTCACCTATGAGGTGGGATGAAAACCCTAGGTATTTGTTTAGGTATCCATTTCATTCAAAGACCATTTTTTTCCCCACAGTGAAGTTGTACCAGAGCTGCAGGGCCTGAGAAGGAGGCACTGACATTCTCCAACTTGCAGCCATGGGGACATTAACTTCAAACAARCTAAATTATGCTGTGCAAACACCACAAAACCCTGACGACACAGTAAAATCCTGTCCTTATCAAAGTCATTCACAGTTTTAGTGACTTTGGCAGAAACAATACGATTCAGCAACCACTATAAAAGCAGTAGCAATCTGTGTAAATGACATATTGGAGTAGTTCGTAAGATTCTGATAATTTCTAGTTTCTCTTCATTATATGTATATATATTTGTACTATGTGAGAAACATTTGATAATGGACAGCAGATATATACTCATCACTGTGGATGGGGCACATCACCTGTTAGGTTAGGTTCTGATATATACTCGTGCATATTTACTTGATTTAAAAATTAACATACATATGTATACTGTATTTTATCCAAATCCTTTAAATGGTGGTATATCTGAAATGCTTATAAATATACTGCCCCATACTACTGCTAAAATTACAGCAGAACTGTGTTTTATTGATACTACCCTGATCCTTGCATTTCCACAGCAAATTCTGAACTGTATGTATTATACATGCAAAAATTAAAGTCTACTTCTCATGAGACAGGGAGAAAGACAGAGAGCAGCATGGAAGGGTCAGGAGATGAAGATGACAGCCGGGTATCATGGGGATGGGAATGGGAATTATGGAAATGCTACAGAAATGTGAAATGGCACAATAAAGACAAGGCTGATTTCACATCCTTTTCTCTCCTATTCTTTCCTACTCTCTCCCAATGTAACTATGTCAGTCCTCATCAGGGCAGCCTCAGTTGTTCAGCAGGGCAGTTTGATGGCCAAAACTTTTGCCATTTTCTCCTCTGCTCTCACCTGGAGGCTTAACTGCTCGATGACAGGAAAGAAAGAAGAACCAAAAAACAGGCAGGGTTTTTATCAGAAAAATAACTGAAGCCATATTCATGGCTTGAAAAAGTACATCTGAAGAATGTGTATCATCTTTCCCTTATTGCAATATGGCAATTACTTTCTCTTTCTTCACTTCTTACTGGCCAAAATTTTGCCATCAAGAATGTCAAGATACATAAGTTCTCCTTCTCCAGGCATCCTATAGTTCATACACATAAATGACCTAGTGGACTGGACTTGATCCAAGGCATATTTTAGATCCATGGTTAATCCACGAGCCTCTCTGGGAACACTTAGAACAATGTATCATTAAATCATTGAGCTGATTTCCCAGCTTTTTCAGACCTGACTGATAAGAACAGAATGTTCATAAAATGATAGGGAACAACTAAAGCTTTAATTTACAATGAATAGCTCTGTGAAAAAGAAACAAAAGACTAAGCAGTCTTTTTTAAGGATACAATATCATATCTGATAATGTATCTCCTGGGATTTATTAAAAAAAAAAAGAAAGAAACAATAGGTGTGTTTTTATCCATTTAAAGGCAAATATATATGTAATTCATTTCTCAAATTAAGAAGCTTCTCTTCCTGAATATTGCCTGCCTAACGAAAACTCTATAATAAAGACAGAACACGAAAAAAAAAGCATTTCTTCATTATTCTTTTAATTAGTATTTCACTCGTTTTTTCCAAACATGCTACAAACGTTCGTTGATATAAAACTCTCCTTATTTAGCTAGGGGGAAGCAAGGCAGACAGCTTATCACAGAATMACAGAATGGTTGAGGTTGGAAGRGACCTCTAGAGATCATCCAGTCCAACCCCCTGCCCCAGCAGGGACACCCAGAGCACGGGGCACMGGGCGGCATCCAGGCGGGTCTGGAAGATCTCCAGGGAAGCAGACTCCACAACCTCCCTGGGCAGCCTGTGCCAGGGCTCTGGCACCCTCACAGCAAAGAAGTTCCTCCTCACCTGGAGACGGAACTGCCTGTGTTGTAACTTGTACCCACTACCCCTTGTCCTGTCACTGGTGACCACTGAGAAGAGCTTGGCCCCTTCCTCCCTACATTCTCCCTTCATGAACTTATACATGTTAATCAGATCCTCTCTCAGCCTTGTCCTCTCCAAGCTAAACAGGCCCAGCTCACTCAGTCTCTCCTCATACGAGAGATGCTCCAGTCCCTTAATCATCTTTGTCGCTCTCCGCTGGACCCTCTCGAGAAGCTCCACGTCCCTCTTGTCCTGGGGAGCCCAGAGCTGCCCCCAGTGCTCCAGGTTTGGCCTCCCCAGAGCTGAGCAGAGGGAAAGGATCCCCTCCCTTGACCTGCTGGCAACACTCCCCCTGATGCAGCCAGGAGCCCATTGGCCTTCCTGGCCACGAGGGCACTGCTGCCTCATGGCTAACTTGGTGTCCACCAGGACTCCCAGGTCCCTCTCTGCGGAGCTGCTCTCCAGCAGGTCAGCCCCTAATCTGTGCTGGGGCCTGGGGTTATTCCTGCCCAGGTGCAGGACCCTGCACTTGTCCTTGTTGAACCTCAGGAGGTTCCTCTCTGTCCAACTCTCCAGCCTGTCCAGGTCCCTCTGGATGGCAGCGCAGCCCTCCGGAGTGTCGGCCACTCCACCCAGCTTGGGATCATCTGCAAACTTGCTCAGGGTGCAYTCCGTGCCCTCGTCCAGGTCATTGATRAACAAGTTGAACAGCACCGGGCCCAGTACTGACCCCTGGGGACACCACTGGCCACAGGCCTCCAACTGGACTCGGCCCCATTTATCACCACCCTGTGGGCTCTGCCATCCAGACAGTTCTCTATCTACCTCACTGTGCACTCATCCAGTCCACCCTTCCCTAACTTTCCTATGAGGATGTTATGGGAGATGGTGTCAAAAGCCTTGTTGAAGTCAAGACAGACAATACCCACAGCTCTCCCATCATCCAGCCAGCCAGTCATCCCATCATAGAAGGCTGTCAGTTTGATCAAACATCATGCACAACATACCAAAGAAAGCAGGCCACAATCAACAAATACACATTGTAAGAAACTGAAGAAGCTGAGTAAAGAAATTGAAATAGAAGAAAACCACTACCATTATAGTGGATGTTCATAAATTGTTTCTATTTATTTGGCTAGGTTAAATGAAACGGTATTGAAAACTAGCACCAGTACAAATAAAAGAATTTAATAATACTTCTATGAAAATAAGGATTTCTTTATGTTACAATCCATGTCCAGTAAACAAATAACAGCTTGAATCTCCTGCTCACATAATGATTATTGGAGGAAACTTATTAAGCACCATAAGAATAGATGTCACAATCAACTTCCTGTGTTACTTCTATTAAGGCAAGTAGGATGTATTTTTTTAGGCCCATTTTAACAAATAGCTTCCACAATATACCAGAGCAAATGAAAAACTCTGTTTTTCTCCTTTCCTGTTTTGTCTACCACATCTGTAGTCCCCTTGTCTGCAGAGGAGAGTTTGAAAATATGATCTATATTCACTCCATCCACAGAAAACAAATAAAAAAGGCAGAAGGCTTTGAAAATCTGGGAGGCTTCACTTTTGCTTTGTTCTCTCATAAGTATGAGGGAAGAYGGATAAAAAGGAATTGCAATATGTGTTTCATTTCTCTCATTTCTTAAATGCCTTGCACATGCATTACTAGCTTGAAATCCTAATGATGAAGACCTGTTCTCACTGACTACTTAGAATGATTCATCTAGGATACTGAGATGTGCACTGCATTGTTGACTTTAAAAGTAACAAAATAGATCTAAGGCATAAATACTTACATGATGTAACACTAAATTAGATCAGACTTCTAAATCTGACAATCACTTTCCATTAGGGAATGAATATCTGCTCTAAGATCCTGAAAATATCAGTAATTAAAGGATAATGCAGCGATTGCTGATGTGCCTTGATCTAGTTAACAAAAAGGTGACACAATTACCAGCAGAAAAGAAATAATTTCCTTTCAGTTTAAGGCAGAAGTCCATTAAATGCATCTCACTGAATGTGGAGGAATTGCATGCTTTATTGAAGTTAAGCACAACCCTAAAAAGCTGTAAAAAAAAAAAATGAGCTCAATCTCTGATAGATCAAGATCTTCTGATTTATACAATGAATTCTATCTTGTACTGCATTAGCAAAAGCTAGTTTAGGTCAGCGTTACATTTTGCTGTTGCAAAGATAGAAGCAACTGAAGGTCAGAGAGGAAGGTATTCACCATTTTTATTACCTTACATGAAACATGAGAGATTTCTTTCTTAAAAGGATAAACCAAACAATGTCTATTTATTGGAAAATTATTGGAAAAAAAATATATTCCAAAAACGTCAGGTTTTCACTCAACGACAAAAAAAAAAAAAAAAAAAAAAAAAAAAAACCCTAAGAAAATCACTGTGAGGAACAAATTTCCTTCTACACAGAAGTCTTATGCTTACCTTTGCAACTCCAGCCCTATGGGCACCTTGTGACTCCATGTACGCTAAGTATTTGTTGAATTCCCTGAATTCCTCCATTGAAGGCCTGAACGTCATAATTTTGCAGCTTGGATTTGGAGGACTGTCTGAGATGACAGCAGCCATGGTGGTTCACATTCAATCCTGCTTTAAAAAAAAAAAAAAGCAAAATAAGTTTAAGAGGATAATCTTCTGTTAAATTATTTATGAAATCGAGCATATGTTTTCAAATATGCATAAAGCCTTCGCAAACCTCTGCCCATGCTGTTATAAAAGACACAAAATATTTACTTTTACCTCCTACTCCTTTAAGATTATTCAACCCTTACCCAGAATGAACAGTACCACAATTAACAGTTACACAGCCCAGTCTATATCTCTTCATTTTTACGGCACATTTTCTAAAGCTAGCCTCTGATATCACACTAGTACTTTCCTGTGGTGATCCATCTGCACAGTGCTGTCATTTTTGTCTAGATACTTACATTATGCAGGCCTAGACTGGATAAAAAAGCTGCACATTTAATAAAATATCACTTTCCATTTTACACATGGGAAAACTACATTACAGATCACTGTTTCTCCGGTCACACTATAAATGCAAATTAAAAAAAAATCTACACCAGAATTTCTTAACTCTCATGTTAGCACATTAACCACAGGATTATATCACCCTTTCATTCTTTTAAAACTTCATCAACAGAAACAAAGTACATAACAGACGAGCATAAAGATGTGTTCTCCCTTGCCTGCATTAGAGAAAATGATTAAAAAACAGCAAAATCGTATTTCCATTTCACACCAAGGTATGGCAGTCATGACAGACCTGAACTTTAGGCCACTGAGGCACACATCTGAGCTTCAGGAGTTCTTCACCACCACGTATCTACAGGGACTGGCATCCCATGTTCAGAGAATTCCTTCTTACATTATGGAAACGGCTATGACAAAGTACAAGTAACTCCATTTCAACCAGCTTTTCTGTTATTTTGCACTTCTGAGCAACATCTTCTCCATGTGCAAACACATGCAACCAGAGCTCTGATGCCACATCCTACGGTCTTACATTCTGGTTGTATGTCACTGTATCAGCCCTTTCACCGCAGATTCATGTCTCTTCTAGCTTCGTTTGTATGAAAGTCTTCACAGGAGACTATATGGAGGAGACTCTTTTGTGTCCGTCTCCACTTCACACCTTTTCTCTCTGGAAGTCATTGCTTCTCACAGATAAAAAGATACTTTAAAACAAATTTTCCACCACTTTGTGCACTGAGCTTAAAAAATAACAAACTCCTTACTGTGCCTACCATCTAAATTATTGAAATTTCTAAATGTTTTTAGCCATTGAAAGGGGAAAAGGCATAGGCCACAGTATTTTGTATTTGTGAAATGGGCCGATTGATTTTGGGGAAATGGCAAGAAAATAAAGAGTATTTTTATCATTTTTATTTGCATTCCGTATTTCTAGAGTTCTCACTTTACAATCAATGAAAATGAAGGTGTGAATCTGCAGCATAAAGCAACCCCAGAAGCCAGGAAGCCAAGCTAGGAGAGCATGCTCCCAGCCACGGGCTCCCACAGTTGCTAGCAGCAGACATCTAGGAGAACACGGAGATGGAAGGGCAGCTTGAACTTATTGAGAAAGTCCCCAGCCTTCCACTTATAACAGCTTAAGGAGCCATGGGACAGAGAGGATATCATTGAATTCAGTGGGGTTTGGTGGAATTGGATTTTTGTCTGGGATTCTGAATCTCTGTAAGCCTTTAGTATCCAAGACATTAAATAAGAAAGCATTTCCCAGCTGAACAATGTGCCAAGGGAAACATCTCCTGCATGTCTGGAGCATTTCTAGTTTTATCTGGCATAACCAGGGTTCACCCGGGAACAGTCTTGCTGTCTTGCCCTGCTCACCTTTTTGCCACCGGGGATCTGCAGGCCTCCACCATCCCCAGCCACCTACTTTCCAGGCTGCAGACTCCTGGCCCTGCCAGCTGGGCCCTGCAAGGGGGTGGGCAAGAATTGCCAGGAATATTCCAGACACGCGCATACAAACACATAACTGCATCTTCCTTTTTAGGCATGGTCCTCACAAGAGCCATGGAGCAGTCTGGCCTAGAACTCACTTTTCGAACAGCTAATTTTCTCCTAAGAGTTTGGGTAGAGGCACATTGCTACCGCAGCCCACGACTTTGCGGGAGACAGCAGATGGCAGAGGTGAACTCGCAGGGCACTGCTGCACAGCCCTGTCAGCTCTCATTTTTCTAAGTCTTTCTAACTTGCTTCCCATCAGCGCCGGTACCAGAGGCGCATGCCCTTCTAGAACACGGCCAGGACACCTCTCCAGCGGGACCCCCACGTGCAGCCCCACTTAACAAGCCCCCAACCAGACCCGGGGGTCTGCAGGGCCTCGGGGCAGACACCGGGCTGCAAGGGGGCTCACGAGCCCGCCCTGCCTCTCCGGAGCAGCCCCACGTGCAGCAGCTGTGTTGTGTCCATGCGCAGGTTTCCACGGCGGAAACACGTGTAAGGGCTGAATCCTTATCCCGTGATTACACGTGATTACATGACCTGATGCTACGGTGGATCAGAAGGTGGCTAATATATCTTGTAACTTACATGACTTTCTCTTTACAAGCAGTTGCTGGATTAACAGAGAATTTCACATCTTTGTGATCGTGCAGGGAGACATATTTGAGGTGATTTTAAAGCAGATTTTAAAATCACAAGCCAACTGCTATCTGTAACATACTGCATGAAYACAGATTTTTTTCCCCATACATATCTGGAGCTTTGCATATATTCGGAGGATGCACGATCACTGCACAAGGTGCAATAAACTTACAAGTTTCCAATTCTCCAACACGCACCACCACAACCAGCTGTACTGGCAGGCCTGTGTTTTTAAGAGCAGTGCCTCACAGACAACTTGGTCCACAATGGCTGAATCGGGGATCATGATATAAGAGAGGAATGCTAATATATGGAGACCTGGCTGCAGTAAAGTATGCCTGATGCTCATATTTAAGTATATAAGACTTCTCAGATCTTGGTGTCACATAAAGGACTAGTTCACAGTTAAGCACTTCTTCRAAAGACCATTTCAAAAAACAAACAAAATCACATATGGCAAGGTATTAATTGCCTTTGCAGGCTGTTCACTGCCGCCTGCTGCCAGGAGATGCTCCCAGATGCAGAAGCTCTGGACCTCAGAATCACCTATGCTCTTTGCAGAGCCAACCTTTGTCCTGCAGCCAGAGAACAGCAGGACACGACTGACCCCTTGAAGACTGCRGCAGAACAGACCTCAAGCCCTTACCTCAGGAACAGCACTAATCACCTCTGCTCCCATCCCCAATGGGCATTGCCCCTTCCCTCTCCTGGGGATGAAGTCATGCAACGTTCGTTACCCTGACACCTTGTTAGTGTAGCACCTGTCTTGGTGTAGTTGTCAGGGAACAGTCACACACATTTTAGTGCTACTTCAACCGAAGTATGCACGCCATGCTGCACTACTGCAGTAGGTCACTGTGCTGAGATACTGCGGCAGGCCCCTGCACTGAGCTACTGCAGCAGGCCCCTGCACAAGGGCAGCCCTACTGCCCTTGTGCAGGCTGCTGCGACACCCACAGCAGGACAAAGGCCCCTGAGYGGCTGCAGTGGCTGAGAGATCGCTCCCAAATCACCACCGGCCCCTTCACGTACCCAGGAAGGCCACACTTGGGAGAATCCCTGGCAGCAATTTTCACAGGTGCACGAAGGGAGCAGCAGGACACTCACAGCAGAGCAGCCGCACCAAGAGGAGGCTGCCAGCTGGCACGTGGCTTTTCTGCAGCCCAGAGGCAGCCTTTTTACCGCATCCACCATAGTTCAGACCTAGAGCTGGGCCCTGAGTTGGGCCTACGGCTGTTCTAATTTGCTCTTCTGTTCCCAAAGTCCTTTAAACTTCCTCTAGATCTCTGCTCCTCCAAAGGCTACTGGATAATTTCAGCCAAAGCATAATGAATTCTTGGTTAGAAAAGAAAACTAGTTTAGCAGAGAAAGGCCTTGTCAATATGTACAGCTGCCATGCCTGAAATTTGCTCCTAGGATGCTCCAGGGGTGAGCGCGGACAAGCCACAGCACACAGAAACGGCGTCCCCTTCCCACTGCCCGTGTTCCTCTCTTCAGAACAAGAATCTCTTACCTGGCTTCAGTTAAATTTGTCACTTGAAGCTGTGGGAAATAAGCTGGGTAATTCAGTAACCAAAACATCAGCTGTTTAAAATTTTTGTCTTGGATATGGGGTGCGTGTTTGGGTGTCTTTTTGTTTATTTGACTGTTTTTTCTCTTGCTTCCCAAGCGCTTGTCAAGCTAAAGAGCCTTCCTGGGCAGGCACTGGGGTATGCCAAAACAGCCTCAGTGCTCAGAGCTACCGTCAGAGAAGGTCCAAATCAACCTCAACACACAGGCACCTCGGAAACATCCAACCACCAGTCTCCTGCCATCCCAAATAAAGCTAAATAAATAAATCAATAGCTRTGAACTCACCTTCCGCGAAACTCAGACCAGGTCCTTCATGTGACTTAAAAGGAACTAGGAATGCACAAGACTATGGGGAGCATGGAAAGGATTAAGTCTAAAGACAGGGGTTTTACAGAGGAGCAGTTATGCTCTACAGTCCAGGCCAGGAAGCTGTTTGCAGCAGCTCCTAGTGATCTAAGAAATGATCTAGTCACCTAGATCTAGTGATCTAGAGATGAGAATCATTAAATGATTATAAGTGATCCTAATGATCTAGTAAAATTACTATACCCATTTCTCTTTGTCAAACAAGGAGACAACAAAGAAAAGTACGAGCAGTTGGATGGCTTTTGCCAAAAGTCACAACAGCACTGCATGCCACTTGCCACGAAAAATGGAGCAGCTGAATTTCTCTTCCTCTCCATCGCTTCACCTCTTCTCCAAAATTTCATACAGGTTTAAAGCAGTTATTCCCACAAACCTGTCATCCTTACTCCTCCGTGTCTGCCTCACCCCCAGCAGAAAACTGACATGATCAGCTGCCCGTGAGGAAACTCATTACTGCTGAAGATAAAAATGTGGGTATTTCCATAAAGCCAGGACAAGGAAGCTCAAATTGCATCTCATAACAGGGGCATCAGTTCCTC